AAGATGGAGCCAACCTGGGCTGGGTTTTGGGGTGCTTCTCAGGGGACACCTCCCTCTTCCTACCCTTCTGTTCCTGATGATCTGGAGGCATTTTCCAACCTTCTCCTTCTGCCCTCCAGACTTCTACAGCTCCAAGAGGAGGATTGTCCATGACAAGCCCAAGCCTGACAAGCCCAAGCAGTGACATGGTGGTGCTCAGCTCCTCTGCCATCGGGGACAGCTGCTGATGCTGATGTGCCCTGGGATGTCCATGGCTCTTTTCCCCCACCCTGTACTTTGTAAGCCGTCTGTATGAAGCAACGTAGAGTCTGTGGTTCCTTATTTATAAGTAGTTCTGGGGTCCTGAGGGACCTTCACTGTGTGCAATGTATTGGAGTAGCCCATGTTGAGGCTTGTAGCCCCACAGAGGGGATGGAGAAGGACTCAGATGGGCTTGGTGGGACTAAGGCATTGCCCTGCCTGCAGAGAAGGAATGTGTCCTCTGCCCTGTGTTGGTGGGGCCAAGCATTGTCCTTGCACCATCCTGCTGTTCAGCTGTGGTCCTTCCCCTTCCTGATGGCTGCCCATGGAGGACATGTGTGACCCAGCCACCTGACAGCACCAGATTTCCTCAAGAAAAGGTCACTGAGATGGATTGTAGAGCCCTGGGACAGCCTGGTGCTGAGGACACCCTGATTGCTGGCACATGGTGATGGCCTTTTACCCTTCCCAAGGGGATGGACCCAGTGGTGGCAAGCCCTTGTCCATGTGATGGATGGAGTGACACAGGGGCTGCTCCTTCCCACGGCTGCTTGCGGGGAGGAAATGCTGTTCCTGGGACAGCCCTTCCTTTGGGTGACTCACTGGTGCTGTCACCATCAGAGACAGGCTGCAGATGGTGACAAAGCCACTGAGCTCATGGTGGGACCAATGCTACCTGGGAGGACTTAGGGTCCCCTGGACTCTGCTAACCCAAACCCCCACTTTCTTACCTTGTTGTTGGCTTGTTGTGGTGCTGTTGGCTCTCCTGTTCCTGCCTCCTTCAACACTGACACCAGCCCAGGGACCTGCCTGCTCTGGCCATGATGGAGCTTCTCTGGGAAGGAAGGAGTCCTGCTCACCAGCAAGGATGACACCACAAGATGGAAATTGTAGCTTTTTTTTTTTCCCTGGACTTTTTCTCCTTTGGGGCTGGGGGAAGAGAAGGACCCTCACCTGGTTCTGCAGAATGAGGGACTTCAGTCACCTCTGGGACCAAGGGATGTTCCAGAGTGAAGGTTACTTGGTCCCAGCGCTGAAGGATGAATCCCTGCTCTTGAGGGACTCGATGTTGTCAGGTCTCAGCACTTTTTATGGGGTTCATCTCCTGCTCTGCTGGATTTGAACTTTGGAAACTGGTGCAAGATATGGTCCCAGGCAGAAAAGGGATGGGATCAACCTCCTGGCCTTGCACCGTGATGCACTTTGCTGTCGGTGAAGCTGGCAAGTTCCCAGCACTAAATGTTTATTTATAGAGATATAAAAAAATACTATAAGGGGGGGGGGGGGGGGGGGGGAAATACCTGTTTGTCTTGAAATGTTAATTCTGAATAAACATTTTGTGTGAGGGAGTTGGTGGCTCTGGGTTAATGGAATTCATTGTGCTGGGAGCAAGGTTGGGCTGTGGGGAGGAGGATGCTGTGGTCTTTTGGGGGGCTTGGAGGTTTGGGGGTGTGGGGGGATCACTCTGGGGGTGCAGCCCTGAGCTGGGGTGGCTGCAGCACAAACCCAGCTGTGGGGAGGGGGATGTCCC